GATTCAACCATAAAAATAAACAGCCAGATGTACACAATCGGCATTTTTAGCATTTTATGACGTAGAAGGGATTCGTGGATTCAAAACATAAGTGTTGGGGGTCAAAAATCCGTGAAAATGCAATTAATGGCGTTTTTGTAAACGTTTCAATCAGTTTCTCACCGAACGCCGCCAAACTTGGCAAGTAGTAGCTTCAGATGCTAAGTAAGCTAGAGCACTAACTCTGGTGTTCTGAAAGACTCTCTTAGCTCTAAGTCGGGCTGTTAAACTGGTGACCTTTGAAGAAATCGCGCCTCTTGACCGTCTCCCAGTTAAACGTGTACCAACTACTTTCCATTTTCCAGGATTAACTTCTCTCATCTCTAAAAACAACACTACATGGATTCAAGAGAGTTGAGATATTAGAGGAGATTTGACTAGCAACTGAACGTTACTGTTAGCCACTCTGTTTTGTTTATATCAAGTACCATTCAGAGGCATTCGAGCAGGCTCTAACTTAGATTCAAATTATAGAGCGAGTCATCCATTACTCTTCATTACTGTAGAATTACGGTGAAAGCTTTAAAAAGGGTTTTGAGCCGTCAATGGCTACGTATTTCCCTGTTTTTAACGAGCCAAGTTCACCAGGCTAAACTGAATAATTGATTATGAACTCCGCATTTTACCTTGAGGCTTCTTCGTAGGTTATGCAAGGTAAACCGCAATAATTTCTTTTGAGTGTTTTTTTGAGAATGTGGTAATTTCAAACGATTGATAAAGTAGTGAAAAATTGTCCTACGGAATTAGCATGTCTGTCCAGATGTATAGCCTTTTCCAAACGGCCTATACCGCAAGGCGCGTATGCTGGAAGTTCTTAACGTAATCGTACCGTAATGAAGAGGATTGGGGAATCCCTTAGTATGTGAATCTAAGTCAAAGTCTCCTCTTCCGAATGGCGCATGAAGCTAAGCAAAAGCCTTCACGGTAAGAGTTATTAACGACTAAAAAGTGTTGCTTACTTTTGGGACATCCTGTATATCAGTGGCGTACCTAGGGTTTGCGTTCCGAGGGGGGGGGAAGATTTTGTCTGATGAAGGTGAGTGGTGCTAGTTACGCACTCCAAAAAAATTTTCTGTATGCTTCCCAAAATTTTTGCGGTAGCGCCAGTTACGCCTCCGAAAAAATTTTGTTATAAGGCCAAACTAAATTGTTAAATATTTTATGGTTATTTTGAAATCTAGAACACTGCCGACTATGCGCGGCGCGGCTGAATTGTCGCGAAAGCACGACTTGTTTAATGGCGAATTTGTACTGGGACAAGCGTTCTACTCGCAACGCGTGCTCCGCACTGATGTCCAGTCCGTCCAGTTCAGCGAATCAATTATACGTCTGAATGTCTGTTTATTACAAAAATCTTAAAGCAAGTTCCAGCAAAGGTCTTAAGCTAGAATTTCAGCATTGGCACCCTGTCGACATGTAGATTAACTGTGCAAAAGCACAAGCCGATCCGATAAGCGTAAAGCTTTGGATATTGTGCGCCAAATGGATCCATGAGCTCTTAAAGACAGTGACTCGGGAAAATCGAGTGTGGGATTTCCACAACTACATGGCCTTCTGGACCAGCTGCGTCACGTACTGTGCTTGAGAAGTCAAAAAAGTGCTTTTTGGCGTTTTCCGACTTTGGAGATTGCTGGAGAGGCTGGGCGAGGCATTACCGTCAACTGTATAGTATTGAATCCCTTGCGCCGCCTCTCCAGCAGCCCGCAAGGCCGGTAAACTTCAAAAAAAACAACAACAACATTTTTTGACATTTCAAGCACATTACCTAACACAGCTGGTCCAAGATCATGTAGTTGTAAAAAGCCCCCAGTCGCGATTTTCCCAAGACAACCTTTAACCTACAAATTCCGAATACAGACTTTTGCAAAATTATAGAGTTTCTTGGCATGTATTAAGCTACTGATCATACTTAAAAATTAATAGAAAAAATTCTCCTTTTTTTGTGATAACGACCCAAAAATATGATTGTTGTTGGGATAATGTCTAGCACATCTTTTGGGCGCATCATCGAGACGTCACGATCCTTAAAGAATCGATGCCGACTGCGAAAATAGATGAGGTTAAAGGGAAGCTCGAGAGCTGTAATTCTTGTGCACCCAATGTAAGATCCGAGCATAGTACGCTTTTGGTGTGGACAGCCTGCTTATTCACATTGACCAACCCTTAAATGGTTTTCTTCGTTCATTATGAAAAATGGCAGCAAAAAAAAATCCTGAAATTTTCTTTGTTGCTAAGACTTCCTTTTTTGGTGTATAGATCAAATACGGCTTGATATCGATATAATGGATGCAAGTTTGGAGAGCCCGGGCTTTCATTTACAAATTCATGTAAAATATCTGTCGTAAAGATTCGAATGAGCGCGAAAAAAAATGAGTCTGAAAATGAAATTTCCATAATTGCCCGGGAACTCTCGTTACAGCCTGATAGAATAAATGGTGATATGAAAGTCCAACTCTGATAGACGAATCGGACGCCTCTTTTATGGACGACCAGGGAAAGCCAATTGCATCAGAGCGATTTTTTGTCAGTATTTTGAAAAGGCTAATGGTAACAACAGCCCAGTGAGGATGCCTTTGGCAATAGTTCACATCTCCGAATCTATTGACGAATTACGCGTCATCCAGATACAGTGGTCAGTACAACTCGAAAACTGTGGCATCCGAGGGTCTCTTCTTTCTTTGCTAAAATCATATCCTAATGTTAGTGAAAGAGGTGTGACAGTCATGTACTCTGATCGTCACCGTTGTAGCAGTGGTGTCCCCCAAAGAGAATTCCTTCCTTTCCCTCTGCTATTCTTGGTTTATGTTGCCGAGCTCCTCATTCTTTTGAAAACCATCCTGATCAAAATACAGATATTTGCTAACGATATCAAAGTATATTACTGCGCCTCTGGTGCACTCGCGTCTTCTATCCAAAAAAACTCGTGGTCTAAGGATGGGAGCATTCCTGTAAATCCTTCCAATACCATTGTGATGCAATTAGGGGAATCTTCTTTTCATCCTTATAACTATATTGGTGTTCGACCTCGACTCTAATTTGTACTAGACCTGAGCGTGATTATCAGTAACACTCTCAATTTTTTCACCCATAAATTGGTAGTCAAAAAGTCTTCTTCTGCTCTTTTTACAATTTTCAAAAATATATTATACATAGTACTGATCCAGTAATTTTTTTTGACTTTATGTAGAAGCTACTGCCACATCTGAAATACGCTTTTTCGGTATGGAGTCTTTTTTTTTTTGAAAAAAAGGTATCAAAAAACTTGAAAAAATTCAGAAAAATTTTTTTGACTTTATGTAGAAGCTACTGCCACATCTAAAATACGCTTTTTCGGCATGGAGTCTTTTTTTTTGAAAAAAAGGTATCAAAAAACTTGAAAAATTCAGAAAACTTTCACGAAAACTTCCTTGTTCTATAGGTTTCTGTAGCTGTTACCCTGATTCAAACTACCCCCATGGTTTGCCTTCATATCGATCGCGGCTCAATATTCTTCAGCTTCATAGTCTAAAGTACAAGAAATCGTAAATGATCTGGTCTTGAGATTCCGCATTTTACGCTTGCAAACCGGACTCATGCCAGTAAGTACTGATCTTTAGGCCATGTAGTCAACGTTTAGGTAAGTTTATCTCAAATTATCGCAGATTAAGCACTCAAAGACTTTCAACATTCAACGCGTTCGTTTGCCGCATTTCAAGATGGTTATCCTCAATGCCAGATGAAATAACTTCAAGTGAAAATTCGACCATTTTTTGTAGAAGACTGTAAAATTTTGATGTACTTCAGATTCTAAGGATTCACTTTCAAATTTCAACCCCCCTCCCCCATTGCCCGATGCTCTCAACCTGGTAGTCGTTGATCAGTTGCTATGTATGCCGTGACTCCCTCTCTTTCTTCAGTGCTCGCTTACGCTACCTACATCCCCCTTTTTCTCCTTTCGTATGTTGCTAACAATGCTAACTTTCGGCACGGTCTACCAGGTCGTTGCATCGTTGAGTAACCTTAGTACCTTCACGCTACCAAGTCCTGGCTTCACAGCATTCTGTATCAATTCCCTGGCACTCTAATTATATCTTGCTTTCTTTTATTGCATTTTTCGGGGCCAAGTCCGCTAGCCTCCGCCGTCGCTGAACCAAGATCGTCACAGCTTTTCCAGCGAGGTTCTGGAGTTATTGTAGTCTTTGATTGACTTTCTGCTGTTATTCCTTACTGGTGTATACTTTAATAATCATCATTCTTGGAGCTTTGTCTTTCATTACCTTCTTTTTACCTCCCATCACCTCACATCTGATTCCTCGATAGGACTTGTTGGTACGTCTCATTCGTCACTGCTTTTTTTTTCGTTTGAGTTTACTTTCTACGACACCTCGAGTGTACTATAATAAAACAAAAATAAAATATCACTTTCATTCTACAAAGTTTTTACTAGTACGAACAACTCTCTCCTCCTCAGCATGTTCCTGAAAGACTCCACTAACGATCGAGCACAACGGAAAAGATAGCACTACACTTCTAGACTTTCTTTTACTATGGATTTCAACTGCATGTAATCATCTCTGTTGTCCATGAACTTCTTCAATACATTTATTCCAATGTTTTATATCTTGAATATATCAAATAAAACGTCACGAAGACTTCGAGATAAGTGTGCGTGAAACTGAACATTGATGTGTTTTACAGATGAAAAGAACGGAAGGATGCGGAATGACTGAGGGGTAGAAGGTTATAAGAAAAGAAAGAACATTCTCGGACAGTGGTAGGGGCGTGGCTTGTTTTGAGCAATAACGCGAGTGCACTGCAGTGATTAAAACGAGGATTTTGTAGAACAGATTGGGGAGGGTGATATTTACATTTACAAGGTACTACTCGCGTACTGCACACACAATAATCATAGAGGAGGAGAAAGGAGTAGAAATAGCAAAGAAAGGACAAATTAAAGGGTCAAAATTTCACCAGTAGACAGAGCGCATTTAGCTACAAGAAAATAACAGAAAGCAATAAATTTTTGGCAGTCCGCCAGAAAATTCACGAATAGAATATAGATATATTCAAGACTATGTTATTGTGAAATCAAAATCATTTCCTCTTGGTACTATGGCAGTATCCATCATTTTCACAGGCCACATTATTAGGAGGATACAGCTTCATAAACAGGTCGTGGGGTTTCAGATCTCTCCAGCTTTCAAGAAATCCACACATGAAATAATGCCCCAATTTGGGGAAGGAATCATGAATTAAAGCATTACTCACTAAAAAGGGAAAAACTTGAGAAGATTAAGGGACGCTTGAAAGCAGCTCTACACTTGCTTATGTTCAGGCTAAGGTCATGTACGACACATTCTAGTAACTTAGATTTTACAAAGACACAAACACAAACTACGAAACAAACAGCACCGCGTCATACACCAATGCGCAAAGAAGAAAAAAATGCGATTATTGTTGAGATTGCGCGTTATTTTCGATGTCTCTACATATTGCCAGAACTTCGGGGTTCTACAGAAGCCTATCGACGAGCGAGTTCTGCTCGGAAGGCTTCAATGATGTCCTGCTTTGCTTTGTTGATTTCAAGACGTACTTCCACCATAAGTTCTGCTTTGAACCTAAAAAGAAAATAATGAGAGAGCAGCTATAGCCTGGAAACACGCTACTATATGATACAGTCAAATTAAGAGGACTGAGAAGTGGTTTTTCTAAATTTTGTATGCCAACATTGTCAAAACGCTTGGTAAAAAAACTAAGTATAGTTTTGTTTCTGCTTTGTTGATATGCCCTTCCACAAAACGGACACTTCTTCAATTTTAACATTTTCAAATTATTCATTGGAGCTTTTTCCGCAACGGTTGAAATCATACATACGCTAACATATCCTTTGATTCAACCTTGGAGGCTGGAAGGCAGGACTCCATGACCTAATAAAGGCTGGATAGTGATAGAGAGCACGCGCGTGGGACACAGACTGCGTCGCGGACGCGAGCGGCCCCAATTGGCTCACAAAGCCCCGCCTTTCAGCCGCCAAGCTAGTTCAATCAAAGGTTACAACTCTTAGGTGATACAGAATCTATTTATGTTGGAGAAGAACCTTCGAACATATCCGACACGAATTTTTCAAATTATTCAAGTTTTTCAAATTCATGACTTATGCATCAACCCCAGATCAGATATTCCTCACAAAAAGGTCGCAAGTTTTGGGTAATTTTAACAAGAAAAAAACAAGGCACTTTGCAACGAAATTTGTCCATGTTCAATTGCCCTTCCTCGGGATAAGTTGCTGAAGTTTACTGTCTAAATTTTTTAGCATCCTTTCTCCCTTCCATTTCAAAAGAAGAAAAAACTAGAGAATCTACGAAGATTCCAGGCATGTTTTCACATATTTTCCTTCAGACTATGAACAACCATATTTCAACCTTCTCAAAAAGGAAAAAAAATCAAATGCTGTCCAGTGAATAGACAGATGATGAAGAAAACCTTATGACCTGACAAGAAGAGTTCAAGTATGTCTGTGCAGTAAAAACTCTGTCGTCCATACTTTAAATGCCTTTTCTACTATAAAAAGAATCATGCAAATCTACAAACGGCTCCTAAAATCAAACGAAACTTATGCATTTCGGATATGGAATCTCGTCTATTTTTACAACTTCACATGCGGATATCAAAATTTTCAAGGTTAAAATCGAAAATATACTAACCTTTCCAGGTACTCCTGAGTGATAGGTGTACCGCTTGCCGCTATTCCGTTCGTTTTTACCGTATCCTCTTGCGATGAAATCGAAGAGCCAGAGGGAATTCTAGAAAAGAACCTTTTAAAAAATCCGAAATCTCAGAAAGAAACATCTTAATACGTACTTCCTATGTGTCTTTGGGCTTTCCGTATTTCCGTTCGTTTTCACGGGTTCCCATTTTCTCGTCACATTTCCGACACTGGCTGGGGCTGCAAATCCATTAACTGGTGGTATTGTGCCGCATCCGCTATCCGATGAGCCTGCAATGGCATCAGTCTAATCCTCTTGGGCCAATAACTGGCGCAAAAAGCACTATGGAAATGACTCTTACCATTGCTGGCATTCGATTTCGAATCAACGGCGTCTGCCTTGGCTTGGCTAATCTTCTTTCGATTGAATGTGGCAGCCAGTTCGGAAAGTAAGTCACCATGAGATGAGCCGGCAACTGGAAAATGTAAAATTTCTCACCGGCTCAAACAAATCGAATAGGACAGAAACGAAAGAGAAAAAGTGATAGAAAAGAAAAAAAGAGAAAAGAGCAACGACCGAAACTTACCTGATCCATGAGCGCTAGTCACTGAAGTGGTCTCTGCAATCGAAACTGAACGATTTTCCCTAACACCACCAGTTTTCTTCAGATGTGCTCCTTTCAACTGATCAACCAAGCTAAAAAGTCACTAGTCACTTCTAGACAAACTGCAAAAGCCGCGCGCTAGTCGCGATCAAAACTCCACTCACCTTGGGCCCTTCGAGCTTGAACTCTTCAGAAGATTCGGTGGCGGCGGTGGCGGAGGTGGAGGAGCTCCACTGGTGGGAGGAAGTGGTGGTGCAGGCGGTGGACAAGAAGACGGTGTAGCTGGTGGTGCAGGTGGTGCGGGTGGTGCCGCGGGTGGTCCGGGCGCGACTCGCGATGGGCTTGCAGATTGTTGCTGAAGAGTTAGAATTTATAGCATTGCGTACAGGAAGTAGCTGTGAAAAAAATCAGAATATCAAAAAATGAGCTCACCTGCCCATAAATATTACAGGGACCATTCGAGGAAGAACTAGATCCTTGTGAAGAACGCCTTTGTTGCTGAGAGATCGATAGACTGCCCTGGATGCTGTGAGACGCTTTCCTGGAAACAATGTTTTCAGGTTGACAAAGCAAAATCCACTTCCTGCGCCGGAACAGAATGCAAAAAGGTTATGCAGCCTAACCTAGGCAACCTTTCCGAAAACACCGATATAATCATGTCGAAGCAATTGTGGAAATAAACTACCCTAGCTACACCTCGCCTATCAAATCAACCACGTATACCACGTGTCGACTGATAAAGATGATAAGGGCTAGAGGTATCTCACCTAAATCCGGGATGCATGGGAGTCATCGGGGCGTGGCCGGCGGCTCCACCATCTTCTTGGTCCCGAAACGATGGTGCTGACTGGATATGTGACATCATATGCTGATGTGGATCTTGATAGACGTTGTCTGCAAAACGAGTGTGTGATATCACGCGCTTTTGCAGATTAGGACAAGTTGTATAAAACTCCGGAAGAAGAAGTAACAATTTCAAATTTTGAAGAAAAAACATTGTTTAAAACATAGCAACCAAGATACCGTGTTCATTCGCTGTAGCTCGTGGAGGATGATGCTGTCGACAGCAGAACATTAACTACACATCAAATTCACTTCTATCGATTCTTTGGCTCCGATGTGCCAGGAGAGGATATTATCCGTTAAGCAGCATGGAGTATATAAGAACGACTAAGTCCCAAGCGAAAAGCAGTTTATGGTTGAACGTCATCGTATATGATTCGTATTGCCACTTTTTCTATTTCTAGGCGCGGAATTGGAAGTTTCACTCTGCACTATAATGCAATTCCAATAAGGGAAGTAGTTGGTTGCTCTGTAGGAAATTACTTTAGGGAAAAGGTAGGTGGGGGAGGGGAGGGGAGGGGGCGCTAAAACCAAAAGGAGAAAATCTCTGCATTGGCGTAGAAAATGACAAAATGGCTGGAGATCACGGCGTGAGATGAATAAAGCAATCGGATGAAAAAGGACAGCCTCAGGACATTGATGGTGGCTTAGCAAAAAAAGGCCGAATACGCCGTCGGGTACGCACATCTGCAGAATCAAAATTCACATCTCACCTGGACCAAGGAAATTTTCAAAATAAGAATTTGAAAAATTGTTTAAAAAATGCTTCGACATAATCGGCCGGAACTGGGATTCATGACTCTTGAAAGATAAAGCCGGATATTCACATGTATTTTCCAACCCCCGGATAAATCGTCGCCTACTCTACCTCTTCCCCCCCCCCCCCTCCCCCTCCCCCCAGAAAAATTTCCAAAGATAAAATCTTCAGTGTTGTAAGAAATATTCTGGCAAAATTGGGTGCGTCAAATGACCAATTTTCTACCTCTCTCCCTCACCCTTCCCCGTCCTGGTCCCCTTTGTACCAACCAGACTCCTCATTAGAGCTACCATTCACTCTCCACTCTTCTCTCCCTCCACCCTTCTCGCTTCTCAGAATTATTTTTCTTACCAACTATGATAAAATGACTATGTAAAAGCTAATAATACAATTATCTCTATTTGATTTTTTTTCAATATAAACAATAAGATTGAAGAAAGAAAATTTCGAGCAATTTGTACTTGGAGCTAGGAGTATGAAGAGCTAGAGGGTTTTTCTGCAGCAGACGCGGTCACCCAAGTTTTTTTCTGCCAGCCAAAACTTTCAATTTTCCGGGCAGATGTTCTATGTTATTCATGACATGCCAAAGTGCTTTCAAATAAATAGGACTTGGAAAAAAAGTTTGGAAACTCAGTAAAATGCGTTCTGGATAAGTCAGGCGCAAACAGATGTTGAAAACATTGCTATGAATTTCCTTTTTGGTAAAGGCTGAAAGTAGAGCGTGATAACTTGAACATAAGACTCCTCCAAATGATGACACACAACAAGCAGACGTCCAAAAAAGTACTATTATCTAGTTTCTAGGTCAATACCCCTTTTTTCACGAGAAGACAAATCGCCACTAGGCTAACGAAAATAACCCTCAAACAAATGAAAGACAACGATATATAAATTAATCAATGCTAGAGCAGCAAGAGAGAAATGCGATACAAAATTTGCATTGCATTCGTGTAAGTGCACAGAGGTTTTTTTCTCCCTCTCCACACTCACCAATGCATTAGTTTTCGTTGTCTGCAAAAATTACATCGAATCACCAAGGTAACCAGAGCGAAAGAGTGGTTAATTTTCCTCTAATGGAGATAACATGGGAAAAACTTGAGTGTGGCAATTGTTCAAACAAAGAGCAAGTAACCGTTTCTTCGCTTCAAAACCAAAAAAGTTGTTACCCTAACCAGAACTTTCAATGTGACAAACAAAACATAGATAAAAATACACCTTCAAAGTCATATTTCACAGCTAATCAAAGTTTTTTCCTTCGAAACATACGTAATCTTGATAGCTTGTTTATTCTAAACAAAATTTGCAGTAAAAATATACCAATTAAAAGAATTTACTTTTTTTTTCCAACTGGAATGTCTTCAGTCATTTAATTTTGCATCTATTTTTATTTAAAAAAACATTCTAACTGACCATTAACCCACTAACGACGCCTAATTTTGCGTGGCGGTGCTGTGGGTCGACGCGATTTTGCACAACACTTTCAGTGTGGGAAGGTTTTGTGCTTATTTACGAAACGCAACGTTGTTTTGTAAACAACTATTAATTTTCTTGAACAAGGGAGCCTACAGATCCCAAGAATACAAAAAATTGAAAAAAATATTGATATATGGAAAAAATACTAAACGTGCAAATAATACGACTTTGCAAGAAGTGCGGGCCACCGGGGTCCACATCGTCGTCAGTAGGTTGAATAGAGAAAAATCGTCATAGTACAAAATGTTGTCTAAAGCTGTTGCAAATTGCATGCCTGCCGTAAAAGCCTAGAATGACACAAGATAGATAGCCATGCATTGTCATTTGTACTATATTAATCAACCGGTGTAGTCATAGCATTAACGCATTACTAAGCCAATTGAAACGCGAAGCTTCGGTCAAAAGAAATTTTGGCAAAGATGCGGGTAACCCCTACAGATTGTATGCGTAAATGGCTACGCTACCCTTCCTCCAAATTTGTTCCGGACTATCGTTTGCTCGCCTTACAACAGAAGCTCAAAACTATTAGGTTGTCCCATAAGTCTTTTCATACTTGACTTTTCAGCGACATAAATCAGTTCTTCTTGGATTCCTAATAAAATGCAGGATACCGTTCGAAAGGTCAAAGCAAGCTCTACAAGATGGCGTTCGAAAGTTCGCAACAAGTTCAATCTGCAACGAGTTCCGAGCCAAAATAAAAAAATTTCCAATTTTTCGAAAAAACGAAAATCATCATATCTCAGTTCAAAACAACTCTGCAAATTTCCTGCTTTCTCATGCATATACTCTCCTCATCGGATATTTATACACGCCCTTGCGGCATTTTTCTGACGGCTAGAAACCGAGAAAAAAAACAATGCGCTCAATTTTCAAACTTTGCCTGTATCACTTCTGTGTTCTCCGCAAATAGGTGTTCATATAGCGTATTAACTCAGAATTACTGCCACAAATTTGCAGCCTTCTAGGTGCTTTACTTCTTGAGAAATATCGAATTGAAGGACCGAATATGAAAAGACTTATGGGACCCTAATAAAACGACGAAGATAATGAACCCGGGTCCAGGTCAGCACTAATAAGGTAAGTAAGGACGACATCAGCGACAACAAAAAAGGCAAGATAATTCTGCACTGCAAGGATTCCGTACTAGCTAGTAACTATGGAAGCGCTTTTCGTCCGTCGATTCAGTCAAATTTGCATATACTAAGGATTTGCGAAAACACTTCTTCAAAACATGTCTTGGCAGATAATTATAGTGTCACAATTCACAATTGAAGGCTAGTTTTACGAAAACATTATATCACTAATAGCTCAAATACGGTAATCTCTTCACGCAGATTTTTCTGCTAATGTACGCAAATGCACAACTTCCAAAAACGAAAAACTGAACTTCCGAATTAAAAGATGAAACACCGTGTTCAGGTAAGAAAGACATGACATATTTACGTCCACTTACAGGCGACTGTGCCCAAACAGCACATAAATGGTAGGAAGCAAGAAAAACATTACCTAGGCTCCAAGGCGGAAGTCAACCTGGGAAATGTGCGCACGCGTTAGCAAAGAAACTAACTCGACTGTATGCTTACAACTGTACTTAAACACAATAATTCTGGTAAGCAATATCCTGTGTGAGGCTAAGTAATAGGTCATACTTGACACATTCACGACAATGCAACCTAACGGTAGGACGTACGTGTCCTGCCATTTCGGACAACACGATCCACCGGTGGGTCGTATATCTTCCAAAGTTTTTGATCTTCTAGTTTACGATGAAATTTTTGGGCATATTGGGTAAACTTCTGTATACACCTCTTGGAACAATTCCCAAAAGACTAACACTTTGAACCATATGACCCAACAGTGGCCAAAAATATGATGCAAACTCAACACTGGAAATATGCTCTGGTCCGAAATGGCATTCATCGAAAAATCGGCCTTGTCGTGAATGTGTTAAGCGCATTTTTTGCTGATTTCATGGGGATGAAGCCATTGATGCGCTCTTTGGTGAAAATTGATAAGCGGAGCATTTTGATCGTCCTACAAGCAGAGATAAGATAGGATGATGTCACTACCTGCTACGCTGCCAAAGGCTCGAAGCAGATTGCAAATGCAACTTTATAAAAGTAAGCAGAAGATTTATTTAACCAAACAAAAATTTATTCTTAGCAAGCTGTGCAAGGAAAAGTCTATGCAACAAGCTTCTGACATCGCAAATGATGGCAAAAAAAAAGTCCAGCAAGGAAAATTACTCCCAGATAGCTGCAGCCACCTTGCAAGCATTCCACGACTTGACGGGAAGTGCAAAATTACACACACAATTGAGATAAGGGCATGTCAGAACCTGGCATGAGCCATAGTCTGTGCCATACCAGACTAAACCTTACCGGGCGGACAAAGAGGGGTACGGGGGTTTAGCCGAAAAACTGGCACACGGAACTGGGCAATATGACTAACACTAACGGGAATAGGTTTTCTCACTCTAAGGAAAAGAGCGTGGGGGAACACATTTTGTCAGACTGTCGCTCAGCAATTGTGAATTGAGTACTGTGCAATTCGCGATGAATCATGGTTGGTGAACACGTAGTGTGTAGAGCGGTTTTTACATACTAGGAGGGGACCGTGTGATTGGTGGGAGAGATTTTTGTAGAAAAATCACTTAAAGTGGACAGACAGGCATTTTCGAGGACGTTGGGGAGACAAAGTTTTCTGCTTGAAATTCTTGGGACACACAAACTAGAAAATTATACTAATCAACCTCTTTCACCAGAAGTCTGTGTCAGTGAAGTGCGCGTCTACAAATGCACTAACAATAAGATTTGTCCAAACTACCTAACGACTAAACGGGACAGCTGTCACAAGTGTCACATGAAGATACACTACAACCATATGACTAATCATGATCATCTCAGTTATACTAAATCAAAAGAAGAAAACTCGCTTCAAAGTGTTGTCCTTCCTATTTATACCCGAGATTATCAATCAATCATTGTTTTCTCGTGCATATAAAATTCTTACAACCGATTCAGGTTATAAGAGCAGATGACTCATCGCTGCTGCAAATGTTTTTGTCATCCATCATGGGAAATACTCATTTCCAGAACGAGCCAAAGATAGGGACCTATTGTAATTGGGTAAACAGAACTATGCTTAGATCAGATACAAAAGGATAACATCCATAGTGTCGCGGAAAAAGCTAGAAACATTTTTGTATAATAACATTAACAAGATTTTGTTTTTTACCAGAAAAAAAATTGATAAGTACTGATTAGGAACACAAGAAATTCAATTCCCTTTTTTCATTTTCTGCACTATCCGGCTTCGGGGCGTAACTTCCTTGGTGCCCCTAAAAACCATATTTGTCCGAGAGAGATCTCCTTCGCTGTTTTCCTTTCTATTTACATAGTAGTACTCATAGCAACTTCTTTTACTATCATGTACTACGGCTTTACGACAAAGCTGTACAATTTGAAATCGAGATGGTAAGGTTGGGGGAGGGGGAAGGGGGGGGGGGGGGGGGAGGGGCGCTAAGTGATATAATTATGATGACCACCGCCATGACTCACCTTTTTCCACTTATGATTCAAAACAAGATAACATTATAAAAACTGTTTAGTTTGCATAATAAGCTCTTTATCGGATGATATGGCTTGCTCATCAATTCTTCACACAATCAGCCACCTTTTACTTCTTTTAAATGAAGTGGAAATTGGGGAATAAGTACAGATGTCCCTATCTGACTTTTATCAGCTGGAATTTTGAGATATCCAAACGGACGATGATAGAGCCAAACCAAATATTTAACTGCATATAGCAGCAGCTGATAAAACATCCCTCTTTGATCTTTTACCGAATGTTCAATTCACGTAATAGAAAGAATGGCAAATTTTGCCGTACAAAAGGTACACCCTGGTCAATTCTGATGGAGGTTTTTGTATCATTTTCCCGTCTTTTCGCCTGCACATTTACGCATCACACGACAGAAAAAAATGTCGAAAGAATCCTCAAAACTCAAAAGAAAGGTGAAAACCACAAAAGATCTGATCTACCACAGTCAACTTGGAAAATCACAGCAAACTATAGCATTTATGGCACTGTCAGCAACTCATCTGCCTGCAAATCATGTAGTGATCTTAGGAAACCGTCATACTTCGCCAAAAAAGCCCAAAAGCGCCAGAAAGAGCCGGAACGCCTTCTTTTGGCGCAAGTTTTGGCGCTAAGGCATGTGTGTTGATTTGCAACCGAGTCATTTTGCTTTTCTATCGCACATCAAAATAATGTCGTTTTTCTACCAAATGTTCCGGGGGTCTACCGGCTCTTTCTGGCGCTTTTGACTGCTTTTTTAAGCTTTTTTGGAATTTTTAGGCGCCTTTGGGCTTCTTTCGGCAAAGTACGACCGGTCTCTTAGGTAGTGCGCAGCACGCTATAGGGGCCTTGGATCGCTAAACCCTTGGGCGTGTTTGGGCTCTTCGCTTTCAGGAAAAACCAGTACCATGTAGTCGTGAAATCAGGGTAATTTGAAACATTCACGCGTGAAAATGCAGATCATATCCCTCAAAAATCAATGTGAAACTAGCCATAACCACACAAAGAAGTGGAAGAAAAATCCAAATTATACGCAATTACTGCACGTAACAGTTCATATTTTACTATATGTAAAAGAAAGAAAAAATAATGATGGAACCAGGAGGACAGACATTGAAAGCTGATGTAAAACCCACCATTTGGAATCTGATATTCTCCACCATGTACAAATTGATGATTGAGATAGTCGATCGCTTGTCCTACAGCTGAGACAAAGTCTCGTGCTTCTTTTTCTGATGAGAAGTTTAGGCCATACACCTGCAAGCAGAAGAACTTTTCATTTCTGAAGACATCACGGTCTTTCCATCTCATCCCCAGTGCCAAAATCTCGTATTTCGCTCTTTTGTGAGATCCTGCAAGCTCTGCACGGAAGTGCAATGTTCCATGACAGCTGAGTAATCATGTTTACAATAGCGTGACCGACAGTACAATCCTATTCAACGATTCTACCACCTATTGTGAGTCAGCTGTGAGAATCATAGCGATAATCGGAGTTCAGTGTGACGAAAAAGACGGAGAGATGTTCCGTACCTGTCGCTTTTCATCTCTCCATTGATGGAAGGTAGGCGTAGCCGTGTGATACTTGAGTTTATGATGAATATTACAGTTCAGTACCCAAGCACCATCCTGAACAATTCTATGGTACGAAAAAAGGTCAAAACGAAAAGAAAACGGAAAAAGCACGAAAACAAAATGAAAATGTTCAAATTTGCAAGAAAAAATCTCACCTGTTCCCTAATGGCAATAATTCGGAAAGTTTGCCGGGCAGCATTATGTAAAATCTGGATACTTGAGAGCTGACCTTCAGCCCCATCTGGAGCTTGCCATTTCCTATGGGTTTCATTGTAAATCATCACTTCTGCTGCCGCTGCAGCCATCGATGATTCACTAAAGAAAACAAATTTTGAAAAAGCGTATTTGAGTAGAATATCAAGGCTATCAAAGAAAAGTGAATTATACAAAAAGATGATAGGCTTGCTGAAGTAACCTGCTGTAAAATTACAACAGTTCATGCCGTTAGTAACATAAAGTCAAAATGTCTGTATTCGAACTCATAAAATAAGAAAATATGATAAAGGAGTTGAATTTACTCCGAAAACTGTATAAAAAAGATGCATAATTACAGAAAATAGTCGTTTTCTTCTCCTTGAACTGATTCAGACGCAGAATTACTCCAAAAACAGCAGGAAAAAGATTCGAAACCGGATTACTAGATGAAATGGCTTTGATTATTTCCCCTATCAACAGATTACTCCACAACATGCAAACCCACAAAAATTGCTATCACACAGAACCCTTTCAAACCGCAGAAATTCTAATCCAACTCGAGTTAGCAGTGGAAAAACCGTCTCTGTTTGCTCTAAAACACGATCAGTACAGGAAAAGGATTAGATGTATTTAGCAATGACGCACACTCTCGTACTACAGTAATCACTGTTTACCCGTTTCGCTTAGAGAAGAGTTGAAAGAACATACTGCTAGACACACATCTATATCCAAAAAAATTGTCTTCTTATTTGCACAATTTCCTGGAACCTTACTTTTCAAAAAAAAGACACGTAGTATTAAAATAAGCCTTATAGACCTTCCTTACTGAGGAGTTCCGGGGAAGGTCTGTAAATGCTTTTACTCCAAGGGTAGGAACGAAACAGAGCTTTTTGGTTATTTACACATTGTAAATTGAAAACTTTTCTTCTTATTATTACTACAGATTTTTTTTGATATGCTTGAAAAATCCTACTTCATTATAGCAAGGTATTTTTATGGCATGTACGATCGCCCCATCACCAGGCATTACCATGATGTAAAGAATTCCCCCATAACATCAAAAAAAAAATCGTTCCATTCTTCCATCAAATCACACTCGACCATTTACACTAACTACACTTCTTGCTTTTTTCATAGCTCCACTGCCAGAGTCTAATTCTCGTGCCGGCCAGTAGCACGTCCAGATCAGGACAGACTAGCACTTTCCGGCGCTAAAGCTAATTTATTATTCCAGCGTAGTTGATGAACGCACAACTTTTTCTGACTTTATCTGCGTTCTAGCCTACAGGGCATTTTCAACATTTTGAGTGCGAGACAATTATTTGAAAAAAAATGGGGTACCAAATCGAAACAAGAGGAAATTTGGGGTTATTGGCACACATCAAGTTGAAAAAGAAAACTATATCGGAAATTTCAACTACTATTTTCCCCCCGAAATAACGCAACTTTGAGATGATTTTTGAAAATCTTAGAAGCAAGAACACTCTTCCCACCGACATTCCAACCCCCCCCCCTCCCATACCTTCCCACCCTCAGCAAAATTCGTACAATCCACCCTCAATTCTTTGCCCTTCCCAATCCCATACTCCCACAAGACTAAGAAGAGAAGCATTTTACGTAATTTGATCCATGTTCCACGGCTAATGAACGGAAAGTGCAAGTCTTCCAAATATCCGTTGGCCGCAAAAGGAAATCGTTTTGCAAAGGAAAAAAGTTCAACGCTAATTGAATGAGGCACAGGGGGAATTTCGGCGGGCAAAGGCTTTGATTCATGCCTACTACAAAATTTTTCAGGACAGATGCAAGGCTGGATAGCTTGAAATTGATTACATTGAAATTATGTCTGAAAAACTTTGATGCAAAAAACAGATGGAATTCGCATTTTATGAACTTTTGACATTTTTCCTGGAAACTAAATTTCTAGTATATCCACCCACTTAGCAAGATTCTAAAGAAAGAAAGATTTTCACTATTTTTCTTCACTACAGATTTCTGTGTCACCCCCTTTATTCCAAACCGCTGCGAAACATTTGCGCAACATTAATTCATATTCAGCACTGGGAAAAATTATCGAGAGAAAGAAGTGGGTGCCAGAAAATATCAGTGAACTATGTAGTGTAGGAGCTCATAAAGCAATTCTAAGTTCCCCCAATGTTTCAAACTCTTTTCGACCAGATATGAGATCATTGAGTTAAAGCACTTTCTCTTCTTTCTTTTCTTCATTTTCTGGAAAAATCTAAAAATTTCATCAAAGTCTCGTAGTTGGCTTATAGAGGAAAGTCTTATAAAAGGCTATATATTGGCATTATTTCCACTTCCACAAAGGTAGAAAATAAGAAGTAAGAAGATGGCAATTCTGTAACGGTACTCCAATCTCCGCTCTTTCGTCACCCTTGGAAAATTCTTGTTCTTCTTCATTATATTTTGATTTTCAATGAATCTCCGGGAGCATCAGCGCTAATACAAGCAATTTAGAAGTTTAAGCTCTTCATTGATACAAATTGAAAACCAGAATTAATCCGTACAACCTGGAAAATTGAAAAATTTCATTTTTCATGTTCTGCGTCCATATGATGATAAGCTACAGCCCCCTATATTATACAAAAAAATAGGAAAAGTTCCGAAATTAATTCCTTCAGTAAAAAATCTTGTCACCACCTAACAGTTGCGCTTCTTCAAGCTGTAAACCACTCTTTGCTCTATGTCTTAACCCCCCCCCTAACCAGCCAATTAGCCGCTTTCCATCAGAACTACCCGTAAACAATTAGACTGTCCAGATAGCCTTGGAAAGATATTAGGGCATCCAGTTACGCGATATTTTCTACGATTTTGATTGACATTAGCGGCAAAAGCTTGCGCCATTTATGCGTCAAAGCATCTCCTCTGGGTTGTTGAGTGACAGTTATGCAAATTTTTCAAACCCCCTTCCCCGCCAAACTTCAAAGACCCCTCAGAACTTTTCGTTTCATCTAGGCAATAACGCGTTCGACTTATAATTGCTACCTCATAATGGCGAGTCGTTCCACTCAGAGTGAAGTGAAGTCGACTTCACTTAGATCGTATGAAATGTCCTCTAATTATCATTATGAAGAAAACTGGTTTCGATTGTGTGCTGGTGATCGTAAATTCTTTGCCAGCTTAAGTGGCAAGTGCACTTGAAGATAGCGATTATACAAAGAAGTCGATAAGACGAGAATACAGGAATATTTACTTTCGGCTTATCAAAGGATCGGGTGGTGAGAATAGCTGGAAATTTGATAGCTATGAGATAAGCGATTTTCACTGTGCCGATATCAAAGATGCAACATTAGAGGCGAAATTGCACTAAAATGGCATGATAAAGATAAAAGTATGCCGAAAGAGACTAACTTGTGGGTACAATAAAAACGGAGATAATCTACCATGCGATCACAGATGACGTTGACAAACTTAAATTTGAAATTTTTCTATCAGATCAAAACGCTGAAGTTAGCTTTTCTATTTTTCAAACGTGTAAACCTCTAAAAATCGTCTACACCAATCTCAGCAGATACTACAAACAGTGGGACCCAGATCATATTTTTTTAGGAGAGGACGAGAAAGTTTCGGTGGCTTCCATTTCGCTGTCGCGGTTGCTCATCGCAAGTTACGATTATTCAAGGCTAATTCAGCATAATTTTTAGGCACATGGTACAAACAATGAAGGCCATTTACAGCTAACATGACGCCACTTGAAGGCCATTTTCCAAAGCTAATATTCCACCATAAAAACGTTCTTTTCAATCCGAAAGACAATTTCTCCAATAAAATTGCAGTCACTCAAAAAATTTTGGCTTCAGGCATTTGTGCCAACTTCAAGGTTTCCTGGCCTTCTACCTTCATCATTTTATCTCAATGTCGTGCACACTGAGCAGAATACTACAAATTATTTGGGGGACAAAATTCCGTGCTTTTCGCGAACCTCGTGGTACCATAAGATGATACACGACACGAATTCGTTAATTATAATATCTTCAAATAGAACAAACACTGATAAATATGATTTAGAAATTACCGGAAAGGGCATGAACAGATGCAAAAAAAAAGATGTACCATACGAAAAGTATTCTCCAATGGCGGTTTCAGAAAGTTCTCGAGAGCAAGACGGAAGATATTCTTGGGTAATGCAAATGTTAAACATCAGTTCATGCAAAAACAATCTTCACATTACAAATTGGAAGAAAATTATTCTACAAATCCTGTGCGAAAACACTTCACTTGAACAACCCTTATCCTCCATTGATATCCTCATATTGAAGCCTCATCGACTGCTCAACTACATGTTTCGCTAGCCACATCAAGCCCCGTCGATAAAATTTTTGCGCTCGCAAGATATGCATGAAATTCGAATTCCCCGCAGACATATGTGTGCGTGTGTGTGCGAACCAGTGGCTACTCGAGCACAGCATACGCACACACACACACGCAGACACATAAGATTCGCCGACGGCTTCACTAAGGTTCAACGTTGTTGACATAGGCTAATGCGATAACTCGATCGCACGCAGCTCCGGCCGCTCTTGATTGGGAGGGCCATCAAAACCCGGCAGCGGCGCCCCGATGGCGTCGAAAATTCTTCCAAGATGCCCGTGCACGTCCACTAGTCCGTGTGCACATATAACCAGATGTCAACGTCGATGTCCCAGCGAATGTATAGCGCTGCGAATTCGGACATTGTGAACATTGGGCACATAGCGACATGTCACTCACTACGATCGACATGACATTTCCCACGCAATACGGGGCGAAATTGTCTCCGTCGAATATGGAAAATGGGCCCGACTATGGGCACTTAGCGTCATAAAACTATAAAGCGCTCATAAAAATGACTGATTTACATGCGTACAGGTATTCTTCTCGTCATCGGCCCTTTTTGTACCAATTACACCAAAAGGACTCGTTTTGTTGGGCAGATGTTTGCCTCAACGTAAGTTAGAATAATAAAAACTTCAAAAATCACGAGTCTCAAAGATTTCAGACCAAGGTTACCTTTCCTTAACCAGGGGTAACCAACATCCCTTTACCGCCACTTACCCACTCCTCCCTCTTCCAGCCCCTGTCATTACAGTAAAACATTGGGCCGCAAGAATTACACTCTAAAAGCTAATAAAACAACTTTTCATTAGTAAGCCAGCATTTAGAGCCGTTTTTCTAAAGATATGAAGGCTTAATGATGGTAGAAAGTACTACAGAAAGTTAAGAGAGGCTTGCCATATAAGCTTTTCCCATGAGTATTCGCTAAAGTACACTACGATAAAATAAACTTATTCGGAAAAAAAGAGGGGTGGTTAGGCTTAGAGGCATGCACTGCTCGAGTAATAGTAGTCAAAAGACGGTACTATATGTGCAAAACAATCTCCAAACTAGGCCTCAGAAATCATAGATAAAAGGCAAAGAATATGATAAATAACTTAATGATTTGACAAAAAGACAAAAATCATGTTGAAAATCTTAAAAATGAAAAATTATGAATTAACCTTCAAACACCCATCAAAATCCTTAGCAAAACGCGCAACATACATTCAAAGTTGTTTGAAAACCCCTACTTTTTGATTGGATACCCTTACGCCCGCAATACTGATCATCCGTGAAACATTTGTACATAAGACGGAGTTCAATCAAATCCCAAACATTTTCCCCACACCCCGCTCCCTCGTTGTCCCTCAAAAAACAGTTCCAACCTGACTTTGTTCAACCACTCAACAGCTATCCAGCTCCGCAGAAAACTGGATCAAAGTTGACCACACGAATGCGAAATTAGCATAAAAACCACATCATCATTTTTCTCTTGAAATGGTTTCTAGTTCCACCTGTTCCGGTACACGGCGAGAAAGAAGAGCGAAAGTGCAGAGCACTGCACCACTTTGAGTGCAATTTTTTTACTGAGGTGGTTGTAATGGAGATGACAGTGCATTCCACATGGTTCGGTATGAAAAGCACATGGATAGACAAACAAACGCCTAGCCCCAATAGTCGAGAATAGGTAAACATTCATGTTCTGGATAGGTAACCAAAGTCCACTGGGCTAGAAGAAGTAATCGGGAGATGAGAGATACGACACATTCTAGTCCAAACAAAATAAAATTTACGACCTCAACCTTTAAAAAACAAGAAAGTGAGCGATGTTGAGAAACGGAAGAAAGGTAGGAGGGTTGACGGCTTGCTACCGCTCATACCCTTTAGATGAGAGGGCTACCCCTAACCGTCAGTCGAGAATGTCAAACAGTAAGTTCATGTGCGGGGATAGGCAATCAAACTACCAAAATAGAAGGGGTAGGTAAAGAATTGAGATATTACAAGTTCTGGTTCAGGCATACCTTACTCCCTTGAACAACAGGACTCTTGAACCCCCGACCGTTGAAGCTTCTATTTGCCATCATATGGCCGCGACAACTGCGATGACATAAATTTCCGGGCAATTTCCTTGCAGATATTGCGCTATATCTGGCTTTCAGAAAAAAAAGATGGGGAAAAAGAAATCTCCGGCTCCGAAGAAGTTGAAGCATTTTTTTAGCCAGGAAAAAAACTCTTAGCAAAGGCGCTGGATTCCTTTGTTAAGAGTTGTCCCTTCTAAGAAGTGTATTCTAAAGAAGACTGACTCTAAAAAATAGACTTCAAAACTTAAAATGATCAAAACAACAAACCCTAATGATTTTGTTTTTCTTCGAAATATGCGGAGGAAGGACCACAATTCCTGGCTAGTTCAAATTTTAAGCGCCCCTCCGTATCGTGTTGCTAAAAAGGCCAACCACCTCCCTAATCGCTCATGATTCATCTCATCACCGTTCACGCATCCGTTTTCGTTCGCTCATAACTAAATGGCACCCCGTTCCCCGGTCATCTATGCCGTTCCCTATAAATCATCGATCAATATTGAGGTCGCAGGCGGGGTATGGGGCGTCGGGGCCGTAACACCCCGATGTTTCTACGTTACGTAGCTTCAACGTTCGTTCGCAGCGTAAAAGCGCAGAAAAGCAGTCACGATAAGCTTTTGAGGTGAAAAACCACGAACAGGTGGGCTCGGGAGAAGAAAGACCGACGTTCGGGATTAACGGCTCGTTGTTTCGATGGAGCGAGATGGAAGAAAAGAGAGGATATAGCAGTGCAAACATTACAACTGGTAAAATTAATCGGATTTGACACCGAGTATAAACGCACCTCCAATTACCAACCAGTTATATGTATACAACGGTTCTAATTCAGCAATTTTTTTACATCCAACTGCCACAAAAGCAACAAGAAGCCTTGAAAAAAAGAAGAAAAATTGATTACGCCCAATACCTTGCCTAATGAAAAAAATTCTCCCCTCTGACCCTTGGACCCTCACCGAACCATAAAATTAGCCTTATGACTCAGAAATGCCTCGTTACAACTCCCATTTCAATTACTCTGATGGAACGACATCTAATTACAAGTGCAAAAAACGAGAAAACAAAAAGTATAGAAGGATCGCTGGCGTAGGCGGCGTATGACCAAACATTACGACGAAAGCGCTCTAATGAGAAGTGCAAATGTTTCACCAAACAAAAGTGTCCGTTTTGCAAAAGAAGCGTAAGTGCAAAAGCGCAGAAATGAACCTCAGCAAGATGAGCCAATCTATCATGCAAGAAAATGCACCTTAGATGTTTGAATGCCCTTCGCGAAAAATTAAACGTTTTGCACTGTACGCCTAAAGATTAAGCAAGATTTGAAAAGCACAGAGCATTTTGAGGGAAAAAAAGATCTTCCATATTCCTCCCATGGGAAATTAGGATTCGTATCGGAGCTACGACTACCAAGAGAGCACGTAATCATACGACCATGTCTTTCTCAAGAGTAAAAGTCAACTGTTTGACCACCAAAAGGTGACAATGAAAATCGAAGAAATCAAATTCAAAGATGTGAAGAAGAATCGATAAATCGTAAATCTCATTCAAAAAGGAAAACGATGTAGCACTGTGCCCACTTATAGAAAGGAGACCTCATAAAAAATCAATATATATTTGTGACATGGGAGTGGTCACACTATCCCCATAATAGAAAGTTAAGTAATCGGGTAAAGGTATACTAACTTAGCTGGTTTATGAGACATATATGAATCGATATACTCAAAAATGGGTTCAAAACATGATCGATATAACGGTTAAGGAACCAAAGTGTAATGAACAGAAACGAATAGATAAAGCAGACCATAAAAGAAAAAAAAAGAAAGAAAAAATACTGCAAACTAACCTCATTATTGTTGGTTAGACGAGATGTAATCGTTCGACCGTTCACCAGTAAAAGTTAATCCCCAATTAAAATTTGTTGTTTAGTAATCTTCGCCTATTGCCACTTCTCTCATCGCCATCAATACAATATCGATAGATTCGAATGTGCTGGCCTACAAAAGAAATCTCTCGTGGTTGTCAGATGCAAAACAAATGAAAAACACAAAAACAACGCGATAGCAATCGAAGCGATGATAATAGGCAGCGACGCGGCGCGTTGGAAGAAGAGACCAGTCAATGATCAGGCAAGGGCGAAACTTATCGGGCGGAGGAATTAAAATGATGAAAAGAATGTTTCAAAGCTAAAAAAAGGCAATTTCGATGAATACAAAGCTGAATTACAGTTTCACCAAGAGGAAGAAGACTTGAACAAAGACTTCAGAAGCAATCAAGGCAAAAAATAAGTGTAACGTTTGAATCGAACTTGGACAAGGCACCGGAAATGAAAATGAATGAGGTGCACTTGAGCAGTAAGAAAATCTGGAACAAAGGGTAACTGCCTCCTTCGTAATTACGTATTTGAAGATGAATGACCATAAAGAAAAAGCCAAACATGATCGATCAGAAGCAGAGTGAAGAAAAGAATTATCACTTTCAGACGAACCAACAAAGAGTAAGAACACAAAACAGCTGATAATCATACAATGATAAGGCGAGCAGACGAAATAAATTAAAAAATAATGTTTGGATCCTCGAAAAGTCGAAAATGAAGCAATTTGAATTGTCTGTACCAATTGAGTAGAAAATAATGTAAGCAACTCACTTAAGAATACCTGGCTGGACGAACTATCGATTATAAAGATTCACCACTGTAATTTTGATAGGGTACAAATGCGTTAAAGTTAATGCAAATATTGCGTAAGTTGAAACCTAGGGATGAATGGAATAGATGGAAATCCTAAAGTGATTTCTATAAACAAAGGGATCAAATTTCAAAACGAACACTAGGAAGAACATAAAGCAAGTCCTAAGGAATTTCAAAATCCAAGAAATAAATTGTAATTTTGCCTCAAAAAAAAAATAAATGGATGTAGATGAGGTAGTCCTTGAAAAACCAATACAATTCTTCACCAGAAGCAGTAAGTTTCCTGAATGGTATGATTGCAGTTCACTGCGAGCAAACGAAGAAGACTGATAAATGGATGTGGAAAAAAATCGATATTTCCGAGCATTTTCTTGAATTGAGATGATATCATAAATCATAAGCACTATTTGATGACGATTATAAATTACAAGTACTATTTGAAAGAGCACTATTGGTCTTGTTAGGCAGCGATTTTCACATATGAACGTGCTACGCAGGCAAATCAACTGAATTATTCATTTCAAACTATGTTTTACTGTGCGAAACCGACTAAGTTGCGACTATAGAATTGTACTACGAAAATATGACTCCCCAAAATGTAAACATTCAACGGAATAAATGAAAAACAATATAAGCAGACTTTTTTCGTTGAATGTTTCTCAGATGTGTATTTATTTTTAGAGTTCAGAAGATTAGCTTATTTTTGGACAATGTAAACAGAAAGCTACATACCTAAAAATGGACAAACACCAGAAATGACAATTTCCGCCAAAGAGAGAGCAAACTATGATTCATACCTGGTCTGGTTTAGCAGATTTACGAAGTTTTTCGAGGGATCGATTCTAAACTTATGATTTGTGCTGCACAGAGAATGTATGAAAGAAGACTGGTTGACTAGGAAGTGTAGAGAGATAAAATCGATACATAGTTACATTAAATCAGAAAGTAACATTAAAGTCTAAAAAGAAGGACTTTAACTTTCAAGAAAGTCAAGAAAGAAGAAGCAACAAGAGTCACAAAAACAGCACAAAGAAAATCGAGAAATGTGTGATGTCGTAGGCACACTATAAATCGTTGAATTCACGCCAAAACACATTACGGTGCGCGCGTGATCTGCTTATTGTGCATATAAAAGATCATAAATAAAGCAGAGAGAAAAGCTAAAAACATGAATGGTTTCCAGTTCCATCTTCTTTTTTAGCAGCAACAAGCTCCGTTTGAAACACACTGCACTAAGATTGACGCAAAAATCTCCTCGTACGTTTTCGAGGGCACAAGTGGTCGTGCGGCGATGACAAATTGCTGGATACGAGGCATATATCCACTATTCGACAACGTTTCGATGGAGAAGCTAGGCGATTTTTAGCCGACAGAAATGGCGACTGGACGAGACGGGGGGGGAGCTGCCGCGGGTCCTGTAAAGGTGATGGTTGCGGGGCGCGTAGCGAGCCGGGGGTGACAACGCACACACAACGAGATGTGAGTCAGGGTACACACCCACTTACGATCATAACACGAGTGCGGGTGGCGCATCGCTCGATGACGCTCGGTGCGCAGTTTCGAACAGCTACCGTAAAGCCACCGTAACCTTATGGTAGAAATGCAAAAACAAAGCAAAATCCTGCACTGGTGATTGCAGTTGTCAATTACCTCTCTGATAAGATGAATGAGTACTAGATAGAGTATCATCAGAAACCATACTATGCGTACAAATGCGAACCAAACTACTAATAGAAACCTACTTTTAAAACAGCTCAAGACTTGTAAACGATAATATGTAGCAAAAAAGCAAAATTCAGTGGAGCATTGAGTTTTCCAGACAGAAGAAAACGCGCTCCAGTCATGATTATGATGGTCGAATCATCTGCAACTCATTCTGCAGTTGCATACTACGCATGCTACTTCACGAATTCTATGATAAGAAGCTAACAATTCCTGGGTTTTCTCGTTCCTCTTTTCTCAAATCAAGCTCGTTTATATAAGCATCAAGTAGTAGTAACAATTTGCGCTGCTAGAAAGTATTTTACTGGCGGATTGCTAGTAAGGCTTCGTCGTTTGTCACGCGTAGTGTGCAGGCTCACATACTGAGTTACAAATGAACATGCATAAATTGACAAGAAAAGAACAAGAATTCCCACTTCAAATGTGGAAGTTATAAGAACACATCTCGTGAAGTGACGCGCGCGTTGTGCAGTATACGCAGCAAAATATCGGTTAATCGTGGCGTTATTTCACCTTTACAACCCGAAATGCCCTTATCAAACCGTAACCCACAAAAGCTCTACCAAAGGAACGATATTTTGTGATTTCTTGTGTCCAAATTATCAGTGAGATCCAAAATTTTGCGTTTTGGATCTATAAATTGTCGAGTATCCATTGCAAAAGTAGAATATGTATACCCAAACCACTGATAGGACGGCCTACTTCAAAATTGTTTACATAGCAGGATACCATAACACAGGAAAAAGAACAGCTTACAGGAGGGATGAGTTTGGCAGAGGAAAGAAAACGCGCTCCGTTACGACTAGTTAAAGGAGTTCGCAAATGAGCGTCATATATCTGATGTCAAAAGCGCAAGAGTGCTATCCACATTGCGCACATGTGAAACGCTGTTTTCTTTGAATACATTCAGTGGAAAATGGTTCTAATAAGTGCTTATACAAAAACTCGCTTTTACTACCGCACATGTGGTTTAGTGGACCTCTTCAAATTTAGTGTAGTAATCTTTTGCACAAAATACGGGAACCATTAATCAGTTAAACCAGATTACAGCTAGCTGAGAAAAAAACGCTCAAAACAACAACTGCGTGTGTGTTCTGCGAAAGCTCGTCAAAAATGATGCCACAAGTGCAAGTCTGGTGCAAATACTTTCCCTCCCAAATGTTTGATGAACTAACATACTCCCGCAGGTTTTTCCCCCGCTCGTCTATGCACAAATGCGTGCAAGGTCAAGAGCATTGACTCTAATGCGTAGTCACTAGGGAGAGAAAAAGGCTGCAATTGCACCAAATTCGTTTGCAAGATGTGTATAGTTGCGTCAATTTTCGAGTCACCTGGTACGATTGCACAAGTTTTTTTGCGACCGGATGTGGTGCAATGATTTCTTTCTTACTTTTTTCTCTTCCTTCTCATCCTTCAGCACAAATTACGGGAAATATATCGTCGAGTCATTTATAACTTAATCTGCGCATTGCACACCATGCGCCCTACTTGACGACTTATAAGATTAGAAGAGCCCTTCCTTGAGTCTTTGACTTGACTGGATATGTATTATGTAATAATAAACATGTCTACGGTTTGTTACGTTAGAAGAGATCTTACGAGAAGTTAATGTAGGAGTGTCGTCGGCTGGCGCGCCTAGTGTGCAGACTCACACATTAAACTACAAATAACAGGACACTTTGTCATGTTAAGCATGGAGAAATAGACTCGAGAACGCTATGCGTACCGCCCAACAAGCTTGAACTTGTTCATTCTCTCATTTCAATAGTAGAACTTTCGGAAAAGAAGTGAAAGACACGTTTTGACTTGTTAGATCTACGAATTCGCGTGGCGTCTATGAGCCTAATAGGCTATAAAAATGCCGTATAACCGTTTTCGAATGAGTTCACCTGCGCACTTTACTAAACGGTGAATAAAATATCATAGGTCAGGCGTAAGTGCATTAACAAGCGTTATAATTCTTATGAATACGAAAGAGCTAGTTAATATATAATTTACGAGTATTGTGAGAGCTGACGTGCTCCAAAGCTAATGTTTGAAAAGTTGTGCATCAGAACTAAATGCACGAGATTTGACGACTAATGCCGAGGTGAACGAGTGAGAACTCAAGATTAACTGAATTAGAGCAGTAACAAATTTTGATGAAGTTTAAGTTAACATGCTGAGTCCATGTTTGTTGTTTACATAATCAGAGATGATAAACTATATCAAACATGACGATTAACCCCAAACTCCACCACCAACGAGAACTGTAAAAAAAAATGAAGAGTAATAAATATGAAGCGACTAAAAAGAGTAATCATTCTACATAAATGCGAGAAAAAAATGAACGCTAACACAAACTTGAATGGCTTGAATTTAATGCTCAATGTGTAAACGCATCGTAGGCCATCATCGCTATCACAAAAATCGTTAGACCACCCAAACTTTCAAAAAAAAGGACATAAACCCTTTCCGTGGGAGGGAAAGAAGTTACGAACATTTGAGAAAAAAAAAGCAAATTCGATTCACGTCATTTTGATTCAAATATGCAAACTGATGGGTCAGCTATATAGTTTGTGTAAATGTCGCTTTTTTAGCTCAGTAGTGTAGTGTTGCGCGACCGCCGCGCAAAGCCATTGCGTCGCGTTTGTGGATGTAAGGGTGGGCACTGGCCAAAAATTTTATATAATCATTCCTCTTTTTCGTTACTCCATCCTTCGCATATCAAGCCTACTACTGATAAAATGTAAATGACAGATTATATAATTATTTTGAATGCAGTTTATTACGCACGCGACGCAACGCCTCCACGACCCAGATTCGTACGTGCATAAAAACGTAATTTATTTACGAAACAGTGTATATCGAATCAAAAAATAATAAAAATAAAATAGTAATATCAATAGAAAACAATAATCAAATGATCATATTCAATCCAAACATCTTAGACTATCCTTTCAAGTCACTGCTGTATTTCCATATGAATATCTCCTTCACGATGTTCAAGTTGCCGGCATTCGTCAAGATGACAACAACACTTCGGTTGTTTGTCAGCACAGAGTAAGTATCACTTTCTTGTTTTGCTCATCTATCGCTCTTAATTGTTTACTTGTCGCCCAAACACTCTTCACAATGTCATTGATACATCACTTTTAGTCACATTGTCATATTCAAATGTCATTTTGCCACGTCAGGCTGAAATGTTTGCTAGTCACCTGTGTTTATTGCAAAAAAAAAAAGCATCATTTTGTCACTTCTGGTGCCAGTCGCTTACTGTCACGATTTAACCAGGGCCCGGCGGGGGTGGCGCTTTCACAAGCTGGATATCGTTTTTGGCCCGAAAAAGCAAAGGGGAAGTCATATTTTGGGGTCCGGGGCTCAGCCCCGGACCAAAAAATACGACTTCCCCTTTGTTTACCGATAAACAATGCACATATCATTCTTTATTCGTCATTCCTTGTTGATGCTACTGTCCTATGAATTTAGATTCCAGCAATGTGAAGATTTTGTGCTCCGATCGCTAGCCTGCCCGCAGGCGGGAATTCAAATCGCAATTCTTGTAAGAGGAAAATAACAAAATAGGCTCGTTTTTAATGCACAAGTAACGATATGGCACCAAATTTGCTGTGTAGTTGGAAGACCATGAGCACAAAAAAAGTATGAAGAATTATGAGAAACTTATGTGAATTTAAAAAATGGTAAGTGTTTTTCGAAATTAGGTGGCTCCCGCGCCACCTGGGAGCCACCTGGGGTGGCTCCCTGTTTCCCTTCACATAATTTCCCGGATTTTTTTACATAAATGTGGACTAGGTCGAGAGTGTTACTATATGTTCAAATCCGCTTCCAAAACCACCAAGGTACCGCTTCAATACAGCCCCAAATAGGGTTCACAGCGTTATGATCGGCCTCGGAAAGCGCGCTCCAATCGCAATCGGTTATTGTAAATTGTAAAGTTTCGCAGCTGACTAATAAATGAGTAGTATCCTAGATATATAAACGTCAAACTTTGTGCAAATCTTGACCCTATGTTTTTTTATAGATTCCTTTGCGGATGAACCCACTGAGCTGAAACCTTGATGACCCGGGCTGGACCAGGAAAGCCAGGTAGTACTACTATAATAAGCGCT